GCTTACCAAGTGCCAGGGAACAGTGCCAAGTACTTTGTACAGTACACCATGCAATGAAGAAGCTGTTATTCTCCCCACAGGAACTGACTCAGGGAGGTTAAATATTTTGCCAAAGGTATGAAGCTACTATGTGGTAGGGTGAGGAGGATTCAAATCCGTGGCTCCTTTTTTTTTTTTTTAAAAGTAGGCCTCACACCTAGCATGGCGCCCAACGTGGGGCTTGAACTCACATCCTTGAGATCAAGACCTGAGCTGAGATCGAGAGTTGGATGCCCAGGCACCCCTCAAATCCACGGCTCTTAAAGTGATGTTACATGCCTCTAATTATCTACCACATAGTGTGGCAGATCACTTCTCTCCCTGCTTCTGTAAATTCCACTGAGAAGGGGAAATGAAGACTCCTGGGATGTGTGGCATTTCTTCAACTGTTCAGACTGTCTGAGGCAGATCAGATACTCTGACTCACTTCTGTATAGCTCAGTCCATTTTTCCAAGCACCTATTGGACTAGGTCCAATCAAATGTGGCATTAAATTCACATTTATGAGTGAGTCTTATTTTTCCCAAATACCAACAACACAGCGTGCTCCACCACAAGAGCTTTATTTATGATGGACTTTCAGCCTTATATAGTGAGTATGCTACCAATCCATCTTATAACAAATCCCTGCACCTAGTTTCTCAGGGGCTGTGGGGCATCCCTGTCTATCACCATGGTTAACAAACTCTTCACCAATCTGGCAGTAATAACTGGTTTAAACCAGTGGCTCACAACCTAGTTCCTTTTTTTTTTTTTTAAAGATTTTATTTATTTATTTGACAGAGAGAGAGACACACAGTGAGAGAGGAAACACAAGCAGGGGGAGTGGGAGAGGGAGAAGTAGGCTTCCCGTGGAGCAGGGAGCCCGATGCGGGGCTCGATCCCAGGACCCTGGGATTGTGACCTGAGCCGACGGCAGACGCTTAACGACTAAGCCACGCAGGCATCCCACAACTGAGTTCCTTTTATGATTTTCTTTTTTCATGAACCTCAGAAATTGCTGTAATGTCAACAACCAAGCAAGAGTGAATATACTTTTTTTCTGTTACTGAGGTTGTGGGAGGATACTAATCCCTGGGTTCTGGAGTCCCCAGGTTGGATACTGCTGCATAAATGGTTTTACAAGAGTCATGATCCTGCAGTTTTGATAATGACTTGTAATTCAGTGTGTAGATCTGGGCAGTCTGGGACTCAAACCTTCTATTTATAGAATTTTATGCAATATAAAGCCTTTCCATTATTGTTTTCCAAAACGGCATCTTCTAAAGAAGGGGGAAAAAACCCAGCTTGTTGAGTGTTTCTGGGTAAATATTTTAGACCAATTAGCCAGTACCCAGAAAATTAAGATTATGGATAGAGGCCCATGACGTTACGAAGTAGAGGATGTGTTTAGAATAAATGTACAAACCAAAAGGATAATCCACTTAAGAAGGACTGTCAGGTCATTCTGATTTGAGGGCACGTTGCACAATTTAAAAAAGTGAAAATGTCACCATTCAGTGAGCTGGGTATGCGCCCTCAGTTTGGGCTCATCTGCAACAATTCTGAGGGATACAAGTGGCTACATCCTTCTTAAACTTGGAACTATGCTTACTTTTTCCCAGGATATTCCTATTGGGAAGGGAATAGCCTCTCATATTCTGGAGAAATAAGTGGCAGAGGTTTCTTTAAAAAAAACCTGTATTCAACAATCTTTACAAAGATACATGAAGACTAGCACATAATTCTAAATAGCCACATCAAATACAAAGTGTAGCAGGGCTACACCAATTACTCCCCCACTGAGGATTTTCTACTGGGCCCCACCACCTAGTTTTCCGCTTAAGATATGGGGAGGAAAGTGACCCAGATGTCACCAGAATTGCAGCACAATTCGGGAAACACAGTAAGCGTTATCGTCGAAGGGGAAAGATTTACTCTCACGGTCACAGAAAGAAACAAAGACCACCAAAATGTGCTGGAGACAGAGCACAAGTACGTGTTATAACTTCAGACACTGAAGTAGGAAGGGAAGGAGGAAGAGAAGAATTAGGAGAAAAGAAACAGGTGGACATGCAATGGAGCCATTCTATCCCTGGATGTTAACATGAATGGGTCATGCACTGTGGCAAGTAGAGTGCATTCACCAAGTACGAGCTTTGCTTCCCCTTACTATGAAAGACATACTTTCTTTGACTCCGTTCCATTGCTCCAGCACCTTCTATCCGTAAAAACCTGGTGGGAGTTGTCACCTTCCCAGATGATGTCTCACTTGAAAGCTTATCACTGTCTTTAATTATCAGGCAGGATAGCTGTTAGGTACATGGTATGTCTTTCTCCCAGGACTCACTCACTCCAGTATAACTTTCCAGAGAAGTTTTATTTAATTCTGTGGGAGTGCTTGAATTTATGCCCCATTAAAGTTCCCTTTTGAAAATTACAAGCTGAAGCCACATCTAACAATTATGACGTTTCTTTGGATCCCACATAGTTCCTAAAAATGGAAAACTCATTTCATGGTCACAGAGCCAAGAAAAAATATGACTTCATTTGGAAATGCCTAATTTTTTAAAGTAAATTAAGTGATTTCAGGTGTTTAAAAAATTTTTTTTAAGATTATAGCATTCTATAAACACTGGACATGCTCTGAAAAGACTCTGTTGTAAGACATTACATCTGAGACTAGAGACCAAAACTCCTCCTGTGAAGTTTGCTCTTGCTTTCAAATTTAACTCTCATATTTTTTAGTACCAAGGTCAAGAATACAGCCTCTTAATATTTATGTTCTTACTCATCTTTTATTACACCACAGAAAAAACAACTGGTGCTAGCTTCCTATTTCTAGACTTAGTTACATAATGACTTAGGGTATGACCATCATGGATGAGTCAATCAATCATCTGATAAACATGAGTTCCGACTATGTGCCAAGTAGGACCAAAGTTCTATAGGAACAGCTCACCTGGTCACGCTCCTATTGAAGATCAGGGTTCCAAGCTTCCAGTAACATCAAATACATAGTTGAATTGAGACACACTGACCACTGCTTACTTTCCAGGAGGACTGTCCCCTTACTTTTTACCTGCTCTTTTGGGGGTGGGTTGGGGTGGGGGAATATCCTCTGACATGAATAAAAATACCAAGGACTCTAACTTCACCAAGACTTCCCCGAAATTTTCCACAGCCCCTACTAGGTACTGGGATCTCTGGGCTTGTGTCTTGGGATCTATGAAGATCCTCCAAGGAGCAAGGTAAAATCCAGGTCTGCAATCTCTGGGGAGGTCCTGCATCTTAGAGCAAACAGCCGGTGGTGGGGGGAGTCCCCCTCAGGAAACTCTGCAGCAATGAGGTCCCTGCATGGACAGCTAAGCAGGATGCCTGCCCAACATTCAGGGCTGTCCATGACCTGGCTCCAGCCTTTTCAGCCATCACTGCCCTTCATACATTCTAGTCACCCTATTCTACTGACTCAACAGCACTTTGTTTTCCCTCACCTGTCTGTCCCAGCTTCCTTCCATACCTTTGCTCATGCTATTCTGTCTGGAATATCCTTCTTTCTCATCTCTCTGCTCTTTTAACTCATGCATGTTCCGTCAGCTCATTTAAAATGCCATTATCTCCATGAAGACTTCTCTCATGCATCACCCAACTAGAAGTTTCTTTCTCCTCTGAATTCCCACACATCGTGTCTATCTCTCTTCTATTGTTTATCACATTTTAACTTGTATGCCAGTCATTGCATTTCATTTGTTAATTTCCCTATAAAACTGAAAGATACCAGAGTCCAGAGTGCAGGTCTTATTTACGGTCCTATTTCTTGCATCCCACTCAGTATTTCCATGGTTTTGAAACTGGGTTCTGCACGGCTACAGGGTTCCACAGAGGTGTCCTGAGACCACCACGGAAAGCAGAGAGAATGGATGCATATGGAGACATCCTCCCCCTAAATGTGCTTCAGTCAGATGGGTTCTGAATTCTTCTATTTACTGTGATTTGTGTAAGCTTTTTTTTTTTTAAAGGATTCTGCCAGAGATAGGAAAAAAAAATTGCAGTAGACACTGTCAAATAAATGAACAGAACTATACCCAATGTCTCTAATGTTTCCTCGATTCAGATATAAGGAAATCCAATGATTAAAAACAAGGAGCAAAGGTGCAGAGAGTGCCTGTCAATCAAAGAACATGGTCAAAACAGAGGGCCCTTTCTCCTATCCCATACTGACCTTTTTACAGTAAGATTTGATAGAAGCCTCTGGAGCCATGAGTAAGTTATGTTTAAGGTGTTAAATAGAACCACTCTGGCTTGGGTTCTGCTCTGGTGTGTGTCCATGTACACATGCACATCTACCATGCTTTGATCTCAATGTAATTTCAGGGAAGTCGGAAGGGTTAGAAATGACGCTGGTCTCTTGATCTTCATTCTCACCCCTCTCCCCCAAATAAATCTACTCTTCCTTCAGTCTGCCCCACCACTGTAACTGGCACTAATATCCACTCTGTTGTTCAGGCTAAAATTCTAGGAGTTTTCCTTGACTTCCCTCTTTCCTTCACTACCCACACCCAATTTGTCAGTAAGTCCTGTCGCGTCGTTCTGAAGCAGCTCATTTCTCCCCGCCATCCACTGCTACCAGCTGCTGTGGTTCAGGGCATCATCATTTCATACCTCCCTTACCGTAATGCCTCTTCTCTGGTCTCCCACTGTCTGCCCCCCTCCTCCCTATTATCCATTCTCCAGGCAGCAGCGAAAGGCATGTTTAAACCTTTTCCTATTCAAAACTCTCAAGGTTTTAAAAACTTGAACTCCTAACTGGTAAAAATAATCTAACCAGCATTTATATTTCACTCCAAATGAAGCAACTTTGCTCATCCCGATCATTTCCCACTGGGAAGTTTTCCTTTCATTAGGAAAGAAGATAAATTAGTAGGTGACCGAGCAGAGAGACGGAAGGACTGACACATCACTAGAGAACACAAATGACTTACGGCTTCAGATTTGGGAGGCACTGGAGGTGGAGGTAGGGCAATCTCTGAAGACTTCATGGCTACTCCCAGAGTTCCGGGCACAGGAAGAGGAGAAGTCGCACATTTGGACCGGACGGACCCTCTAGACTGATCGCATCGGCTCTTCTCGCTCAGGGAACGCGTGAGAGGCTGATGGCTGGGCTTGCCGTCCTCCAGCCAGAGCTCTTCATAAGGAAGCTCTGACTTCCCCGGGATGCCTGCCGATTCTTCACCGGCTTCTGGGAAAAGGTAGTCGCTCCCACTGTCACCCAGGTCCTGATAGGGCAGGATGTCATGAGGAAAGGGGGCCCACTCGCCCCCCAGGTCCCTGCAGCCATGGAGGTTCACCTCACTGTTGCCATGGAGATTGTTGCCATACACACAGACGGAGAGCCGGTGGAAGGACTGGGTGAGCTCATCGCGGGCATAGCTAAGAGAATTGGGCACGTGGTTGTGGCCAGAGCACCTGCCCTTCTTGGGGCTCTTGCAGTCCTCATTCCAGTCAGTTTTCACATCTCGGACCGCCCGGGAATACTCGTCGATGTCGAACTGTTCTTGGCAGATACCCAGCCAGTGATGGACCAGGGTCTCGGGCCACACGTCTCCCTTTACCAAGTGTTCTGGGAGGCTAAACTTGGGGACCGTCAAGTGCAAAGGGAAGTGCATGGGGAGGATCTTGTTGTTCCGCAGCACACAGCAAACCACCACTGTCTTGGTCTGGATGTTCACAAACTTGTAGCGATGCCCCTCGCGGATGAAGTGGAGGTCGTACGGGTTCCTGGGTGGAGGGCTGGGCACAGTCACGTTCACGGGGAGCCTGGTTTTCTCCACAATGTTGCGGATGGTGTGTTCGCCCTCCTGCATCTGAAGTTCCAGGGGACTCCGGGTGCTAAATCTGCCCTTGCACTGGAATGGCAGGCTAATGCTTTCATTGGTCCGGTGATTCATGCAGATCAGGCATGGCATTTTGCCTTTTCCCAGCTTGCTGATGGAATTGAGCTTCCCGATCTTTTTGAAGATTGTGTTGAGTCGTGACTTTTCCTTGAAAGTCTTTGCGTACAGGATTTCTGCCTGCCCCATGAGAGTGAGTTCATCCCCAGTACAGAGGGTGATGTTATAAACTTCGGTGTCCTCATTGCATTCACCTGAAGCAACCTACAATAGGATAAACCAAGTTTGAGGTGAGTTGCCTTTAGTCCATTTCCACAGAAAAGTAGAGAACTTGCCATTAAGGCACACAAGCACGCATACAAAAAGGAAAATGCTGTTCCCAAACTAAATTTAGCCACTCTATTTCTTTTATAATGTTTATATGGCTAACAGTAACAAGGAGATATTCGTTTAGACTTGTAAAAACACACTTTGTTCTGAAGAAATGAGCAATCTGTTCATTAGTAAAAATTTGGGAAATACAGAGAAAAGACACAAAAAGAAAATAACACCCACGGGCCTGATTCAGAAACAGGCACGGTTAATGGTTTGATAAACATTCTTCCAGTTTCTTTGTCTATGCAGAGTAGCCTATCATATGGATAATTATTTTGGGACATTACTATTATCATTTTGTCTCTTCCAGTTATTAAAAAAAATGCTTCCATGAACACCACTGTAGAAAATCCCTTATTTTTTTTTACTATTAAAATTTTATGAAATTTCCTAAAATTGGAATTGGGACAGAGGATGTAAAAATGTTTTATTTCTCCCTGTTCTTTAATTTTATTATACAAACTATTCATGTTCATTGGCAAAAATATTAGAAAATATAGATGTAAAGATGAACAAATTCTATGGTCTTACTACTAAAGATAATCTATATTAACAATTTTATATAAATAGAGAAAAAGAGAAATAGATGTGTCATCTATCTTGGAGATATATAAATACACACACACAATTTTGTTGCTTTGTTTCTCACTATATTCATTTTCTTGTGTTTAAGTATAAACGGTCGGTTGCCAATACTGACCTTATGTATTTGATTATCTGGGCATATGCCTTAATTTATCTGACTAGCTCCTTATTGTTAGACAGATGGGTTTTCCCAATGTTTAGCAATTATAAATAATACTGCAGTGATTTTTTTTTTACAGTTCAACTATTTCCTTAGGAGAAAGGCCCTGAAGTAGAATTGCATGGACAAAGCTGTAGATATATATTTGAAAGGTCTAATATGTATTTCCTATTGTGCTTCATCAATGTTACACTTATTTACACTTCTTACACTTTATGAAATTATCTGTCTCTCCATACCCATGCTAAGTAAGTTTAAGGTTTACCAATATTAAAGGTAAAGCACGCATTCTGCATTTATTTATTCATGTTTTATTTTGATTTATTTATTAGGATAGTTGAATATATTTTGGTATTCATTTATCTGGCCATTTAGATCTCTTCCTTTGTGAATGTCTGTGCCCTTCACCCATTTTTCTATTGGGATGGTCATCTTATCGATTACTTTTTATGTCATGTGAATGTCGTTTATGCTATATATAATTTTCCAATTTGTTGGGTGAATTTCAACTTTATAACTTCTTTAAGTGCTAAAGTTTTTTCTTCCTATGTAGCAAACATTTTCAAAAATTTTCCTTTGTAATTTCATCCTTGGGTGGTATGCTTCTACTAGTTGAGATATCAGTGGTTCTGAGTTAGGGGTGATTTTGTTCCCACTCCCCAGCCCCTCGGGACATTTGACCATGTCTGGAGACATTTATTGATTGTCATGGCTGGGAAGGTGCTACTTATATCTAGCAGGGAGAGGCTAGGTATGTTGCTAAACATGGTACAATGAACAGAACAGCCTCTCACAGCAAAGAATTATCTAGTCCAGATTTCAGTAGTGCTGAGGTTGAGAAAAACTGAGATGATTAGCCAATATTTTCTTCTAGTATTTTGATGGTTTATTAACTGTTTCACTGATTTAATTAAAATTTCTTTGATGGACTATTTAAGGTAGAGGTCTAACTTCAGTTTTTTCTTAAAGATTTATTTATTTGCTTGAGGTGGGGAGGGAAAGAGAGAGACAGAGTCTTAAGCAGACTCCGCGCTGAGTGCGGAGCCCTGCACAGGGCTTGATCTCACGACCGTGAGATCACAACCTGAGGGGGAAGCAAGGGTAGGATGCTTAACCGATCGTGCCCAACTTGGCACCCCCAACTTTAGTATTTTAAACAGTTAACTGACTGTCCAGTATAGTTCTTAAATAACTATCTCTTTTCATCACTGATTTGAAATGCTACTTTGATCATGTACTAAATTTATAAAACACATACACATTTGTATACTTATATTTGCATCTACTGTGAGACCATTTATCCAAATGACCTTTCTGTCTATTTTCTCATTTTAACTATACTGATTCAATTTCTACATCTTTATCTTACATGTTCAGATCTGAAAACAAAAACCCTCATTTGTGGTTATTCCAATTCAAAAAGTTTTTGGATGGCAAGAAACAAGAGCAGCAAAGTCAAAAATCAAGTAACGGTCTGAGAGAAAATATCTGCAATATCTCCACAAGAGTGAACCTCCCTAATACATAAGCAACTTTTAAAAAATGACCTAAACTCCTCCAGAAAAATAGATGGAAGTCATGAAAAATCAATTCACTAAAAAAAGGAACACAACAGACTTCAAATCTATGAAAAGACATTCAACTTCTTTTGTAATTAGAGAAAAGTAAATGAAAATTATACTGAGATACCACTTCTTTATCTAGAACACTGATAAATATTCAAAAGCCTGACATCATACTCAGTGGGTGAGGCTCTGGGGAAACAGGCACTCTTGTTCACAGCTGGTAGAAATGCAAAATGATACAAGTCCTATTGTGGGGAATTTGGCAATACCTAACCAAACTATGCACGTTTATCCCTCCATTCAGCAATCCTACTTCTAGGAAATTATCCGAAGACATTCCTCCAACAGCGTGAAAATACAAATGCACCAGGTTATTCACTGTAGCATTATTTGTATTTGCAAAATCTTACAATCAATCTAAATGCCCAAACATAGGAGACTGATTGAATAAACTATGATACAAACACAAAATGTATCATGCAAAAAAGAACAAGGATGATGAGTTCAATGAATTGATAGGAAAACGACTTTCAGGATATAATAAGTAAAAAAACAAACAAAAAACCAAAAAAGTGCATAAAAGCTTATACGGTATACTACACCTTTGGAAAAAATCAGTATATATTTTTCTGCTTATTTTTGTAAAAAAAAAAAAAAGGAATACAAGAAAAATAAACCAGAAAACAATGAAATTAGTACTTAAGGGAGGGAGGAAACTGGTGGAAGGGAGTGATAGCTCTGTGAGTGTACCTAGCTATAGAGTTTTGATGTTTAGGAGGTAAGCCAATGTTCTAACATCTTCAAAAATAAAATTAAGTCAACAAAAAGTTAAAAGAAACCGAAAGCTAAATGCAAATGGAAACAGATGAATCCAATCTTATTTCCAGTGAATAAACTAACCACACAGGGCACGGAGACAGAGAAATCATCCAAGTAACTTTAAAATGCTTTGACTACAAATTGCCAGTAGGGAAAAAAGACCAACAAATATTGTGTTCTTTTTGGTAGATTTGTTTTCATATGAGAGTGGGTACGGGGATTCTGAAACAACTTTTTATGTATATTGTAGAAATAAAAAATGAATAAATGTGTTCCTTTGGGAATCAGAGTTTTCACTGTGGACGGAAGACAGAAACATGGAATTAGGAAAGGTAAGAGGAACTCCATTGGGTTGACGGAAATTGGAGGTATTGGTATTATAACCTGAGGAAACTATACATGCACACACATCTATTTCTTAGCTTTGTTTTTTCTAAGGGACTAGAAGCAAAGACTCCCACTATCACCGAATATCCCTAGCACCCCAAACCATTCTCCACTAAAAGGAATCATGGCTCCTTGGAGAAATGCCTGATTCCAGGGCTAGGGCAGGAAAGGTACAAGATGAGCTTGAAATACTGTGTTGTGCGGGATAAAGAGGTGCTCTTAAGATGATAGGAATGTGTCAAAAGGACACTGGAGCCAGCCTGAGCTGGCCTCCACAGGCCAAATCTGGGACGATTTGAGCATCACAATACACAAAGACTGCAATGAATAATAATCTGCTGAACAAAGTAGGAATGTCGAAGTCCATACTGTTAACAAAAATATGAATGAGTGGAAAAAATGAATGGGGGAAAAGCTGACAAATGTGGAGGAATGGTGGGACCCAAGATTGGTACATACAAAAAACATGAATGGATGCTCATTTATAGGGTAAGTTTGATTGAGGAGTAGGTTATGTGCCTGGTCTTAAAGTGTCTTCTCTTGGAATGCTTACTGATTGCGAAGGGAGAAAAAGTAACTACAGAGTGGAGAAACTGGACAACACCTTGACCAGGTGATCACATTTAATATAACTGGAGGGGGATCCCCATGTGTGAGCCTCTGGATGTGATTCCCTGAGAAGGTCAAGACCTCAGTTACAGAACATTCCACCTAAAAATGCATTACTAGAACCTAATTATGGAAAAATATCAGACAAACCCAAATTGAGAAATACTGTATGAAATACCTGGTACATATTTGTGAAAAACGTCCATGTGATGAAAGATAAGAAAGGTTGAAGAACTGCTCCAGATTAAAGTGAATGAAAGACAAAATGCAACATCAATGCAATATGCATGCCTGGAATGGATCCTGAACTAAAGGGAAGAAATGCTATCAAATACACTTTGGTGGACTGTAAAGAAGAGTACCACATCACTGCTAACTCTCCTGAATGTACCGTTTTTACACAAGAAAATATCCTTATTCTTAGGAAATATACACTGATGTATTAAGGTGTAAAGGGCATAATGTATGTAATTCACTCTGAAATTATTCAGAAAAATGTAAGTTGTGTGTCTGCATACGTATGTGTATGTCGGGGGTAGAGGATGAGAAAACAAATGTGGTGAAATGTTAAAAGTTGGTGAATCTGGTGGTGTCGAGGGAGATCTTCTATTATTCTTGCAATAATTTTTTAAGACTTCAAGTATTTCAAAAAAAAATTAAAACATGACAACAGGAAAATCTTAGATATTTTTGCCTATTTTTCCAGATGACTTCACAATCATTGTCTATGGTTTGAATTGATAATTTTATTGAAAGTGCATTTA